TCAATAATCAGGAGAATTTTTGAAAGCCACAATGAAGTGAGTTCCCTTTCTTGGCCATATTTGTCTCACATAGTCAGTTGTACTCGACTGTAATATCTACTACCACATCCAGGTAAAGCTTCTGCCTCACCAAATGATTTCTGGGCAGGTTTTCATTAGCTTCTCTGCCTCACCAGTAGCAGTATCAGGAAATCTAACAGCATAAAACGTTAGAATGACAAGGCGCAATCCTTCCTCTCTTTCATTGAAGTGTTATCCTTCATCGAGGAAGACAAATAACTTTTCCTTGGTCAAATACTCTATCTCCTTGTGGTAGCAGCCCAATTTCTTGTCATAGGTGCATAAATACATAAATAAAGATGACACTAGTGATTTCACTGAGAGTTGTTGCAGATACACCATTACTTTCATTTCGACTGCTGTAATTTAGCAACATTCCTGCCTACTGCCCCTCCTGTGGAAGCCTCCTGTGTTCTCAGCCGTTACCAAAACAGCAGTGTCACACGGACGGCTTCTCAGTCCCTGGGTGTCTGTGTTCTCTGAGCCGACGTTACACAGCAAGCCTTGTCTCCAAGAAACAAGACGGTATTTATGAACCTTCATTATGCTCATAGTGAACAAAAACCTGGGAAATTTACCCCAACGAAGTTAAGTGAAGTCACTCTGTAACCCCTGCGCTGGTGTTTCAAGACAGCACCCACAGGCACTTCAAAAGCAGGATTTTGTACCCGACGGGCTGCCAGGGGGTAGAAGCACATTAAGACAGGCAGAAGCGATAACGTGACCTTTGTGGAGTTTTTCAGCCACGCCGAGCTGATACAACTGGAAGTCTTGCCAGTTGCTCATCAAAACACCACCCTGTTTTGATGTTGCTGTGTGATCGTTCTCATCTTTCATCTTGTACAGCAACCAGGACAACGGGCACTGCAGGTGTTGCCAGAACACAGGTTATCACGGTTGTATTTTGATCTAGTAATTTTGGGTATGTCTTGCCTGTTCTTGTACCGAATTGACTTCCAAACCTGTCTAGATGTGCGATGTTTACAGCTTTACCCTTCCACGCACTTCCTCTTTGTAAGACAAATTTTCATTGCTTACAGTTTCAGATTACTCGCTCCAGTCAAGAGCTCACATGTTCTCCAGGTATAGGCTTTCCATCATGATAACGTAGTTTTCTGCTGTTACTGGGGTTTTGCCTGCTAGTATTTTTTTTTTCCCTATTTTTTTAATCCATCTATTTATTACCTACCTCCCTAGAAGCTTAATATTTCTTTGTGTTGTTCTATGCATGTCTCTTCTCTTTCAGTAAGTTCAAGCTCTTTTGATGTTGAAATGTTGAAGACTGGCTGGATCCTCAGACGAAATTGCTTCTCTTAATACCTGAATTAAAAGTATTAATAAAATAATACCTCCAGTAGTACATGATTTCTACACGGCCCATTGTTGCTGTTGATTAATAACAGGAGTGAATTATTGCATTTCCTCACTTTCAGATGTTTGTATAAGTCCTTTGGGCCGTATAGATGCCATAATATTAAGTTACTGAGTCAGGAAAACAAATCAAACTACAAGCTGTAGGCCAAGAAATCATTTGGTTGGTTTAACTTTGTTTTTTCTGTCCCTTTTGAGTTTTAGTTGCCGTATTCAGCAGATATTTTACCTTTTACATCGCTGATCAAATTAAGAGGCAAATTAATTTAAGGGCTTTGACTGCTCTTGATTGCCAGCAATTTAGATGCTTATTAAGTGGTTTAGAGGATATTTAATTAAAGATGGATTGCTTCACATCCAATAATCAGTAAAACATTTAGCATTTATGTCCTCTTCAATTTAAGTATTATCACTTTTTCTGTGGTTCAAGAAGTTTTAAAGGCTGTACGCATAATTTCCTCATTCTGAAAGAGTGACTGACTGCTAATTGCACTGCATATAGTCTTCCTCTTGCCTCTCTTTTATCATTAGAAAAAATGAATTGGCCCTTACAAAGTGTTATGTCTCTGCTTGTTCCTAATCAAAATATTATGTCCCCGCTCACTATCTGTTTCAAAGGTTAAGAAAGACTGTGCATCAGAGGTGGGATCAGTCAGACAAGGCTAGAGACAGGTCTGGAGTTCAGGCATTGAGCTGTCACACACTGTTCTGTATCTTTTTTTTTTCCCCCCTTGTTCTTTCCTCCCCCAATTAAAACCCTATTCTAGGACAACAGCAATCAGTCTCTTTTGTATCTCCCAAAATAGTCCAGAAGGTGCAGCCACAGAAACAAACGCAGCCATAAGACAGAAGGCCCCAGAAACTGGTGTTCCTTGGGATGAAGCATGAGTTTATTGTGCTTTCCCCTTCCCCAACACCTTCAGGAAAGTTAAACTGTTGTCCCCTGCCTTCCCCTTCCCCACAAATCCCTCGGCTGTAACCACCAGGGAGGGGGAGGAGGTGTAGGTGGCGAAAAAAAACACGAAAGTTCCGAGAAGGTTCTTGGTGAGGGAAGAGGAGACCACACAGCAACTCAGAAGGCGTGACTGCGCCAGCCCCATTGGAAACCCAGAAGGAAAACCCTGGCAGCTGTAGATGTTTTTCACTTTCTTATAGAACTATTTATTTGGGAATAGAAAGAGGAGATCACGGGCCCAACGTGAGTTAAGCGGAGTATCAGCAGCTCCTCCCTCCTTGTTTTTGAAGCTGAGTAATTACAAAATAATGGACTACGCTGAGCGTGATCAGGACCCAAGGATTTGGACATCCTTCCCGAAACAGGCCGGCCTCTTTTACCTTTAGTAAGAGCAATTTGGTGTTTGATGGTTCAAGAAGCGAAAGCACAACTGGAGATTCCTGCAGAGGAATTAACACCCTGGGGTTAATTGGCCTGTTTAACAAGGTCACCATGGCCTCCTGCTCAACCCACCACGTCTGCCTCAGGCCTCCCCGTTCCTGGGATGAGGAGGAGCTGCTTGAGGATCCCAACTATTTCAGGGGAGGGATCCACTAATTCGTCTGCCGCCGCCTGTTAGGGCAGCGAGCCCCACTCGCTGCGTTTGCAGGGTGCAGGACAGAGGCGGGAAGGGCAAGGGTTGGCTCGGCTGGTCGGAGCACGCCGGCAGGCGCCTTACGCTGAGCAATAATGGCGGCAGCGGCGTTGGCCGGGCGGGAAGGGCTGCAGGGGGGTGCCACCGCCGCTGGCCTGCGCGAAAAGATGGGGTTTGGGGTTGGTTTGTTTTTTTTTTTAAAGTTGCAGTGGGCACACGTGAGGGGTGGCCGGGGCTGCCCCAGGCTGGCCACACCAGTTCCAGCCAACCCCCCTCCACCGCAGGGCACGGCTGAGGCCCGCGGCCAAGGTGTAAGGCTGTGTAAGAAAGGGCAGAAAATGCTGGGCGGGCAGAGAAGGAGGGGAAAGAAGAAGGAAAAAAAAAAAAAGAGAAACAGCAGAGGAAACACCAAGGTCAGACGAGGTGCTCCGTGGCAGAGCACATGCCTGAGCCTGTGGAGGACCCACCCCGGAGCAGAGGAGAAGCAGGAGCCAGGGCTCGGCCAAGAGGCACCGTAACGCCCTCCCGCGCCGCTCCTTACCCTGCTGAAGGGTCAGAGCACGACCTGGGGTGATGACAAGGGGGAGGAGAGGAGCCTGGAGTGGCAGCGAGACGAGGAAGGGGAGAGAAAAGGTGTATTTTAATGTTCATCTTCCTGCTTCCCAATACCAAATCCGTAATTAAGTATCTATATTAATACATTGCTTTCCCCAAACCAAGTCTGTTTTGCCCAGGAGGGTAACTGGTAAGTGATCTCCCTGTCTTTAGCTCGACCCACGAGCTTTCTGGTTTCTGTTTTTCCTAGTTCCTTCTCCCATTTCACTGGGGAAGGGGGCACTGAGCAAGTGGCTGGGCGGGAGCTTGGCTACCAGCCATGGCCAGCCCATCCCAGAAGTACCAGCCAGGGCCAGCCCACCACAGAAGTCCAGCAAAACACAAGTTGTTCGTAAGCTTTGGGCTTAAGACCAAAGACAAACGACGACAACAGACAGAAGTAAAGGAATTTCGGGTGTCAAGTCTCTGTGTTCACCTGGCACGGGTTGCCTGCGGTTCCTCTCCACGCCTGTGCACTGGACTCCACGTCAGAAAGTCAGGAGAATTTCTGTTCTAAATCAGCTTGGTACTTTGCCCGTCTATAAAACAGCTTCCACGACGTTGATTACACACCACTTTGAGTAAGAAAGCCTCTTTGATCTTCTGCAAAGTCAGCGAGACCTTGAGCCGCTCAGGCTTTACACAGCAGTTTGAGTAAGAGTGTTGGTTCTAAAAGCTCACTGGAACAGTAACACGTTTTAATCTGCAACTCATATCCAGTTAACAAACACAAAACACACACCATCCCAGGTGATTTACTTACGTGCATCTGCCTGTATGCTTTCCCTGCCGAAGAGAACACGTCTCATTCTTAAATCTGTTCAACACTCGTTTAATTCTGACTTCAGAAACCCTTATTCTGTGAGAATAAAAAAAAACTCTTTCCTCAGCTCCTTTATTGTCTTGCCTGAGGGCATACGTACAGACAAGACAAACTTCAGAAGCTAACACAAAACACCCTACAGAAGGCAGAGTTGTAAAGGATGATGGAAATGGTTACAAAAGAAACAAAGCAGGCGTGATAAAAGTATTCTTAAAATAAAAAGAGCAGCATTTATTACGCAATTATAATACATGCCAAAATAGAAGTAGCTCTTAAACCGCCGAGTATGTTTATGAACCGTATTTACACGTTTTTCCTCTCATTTTAAAACTAGAATTTGCTTTTGTATTTGCACACATCGTTAAAAATAAATATTTAAAAACGTGATTCGAGACCAGATGCATACAATGAGCCAAAGTCTTGAAATGAAGCCGTTCCAGCTTAAGTCAGGAGCAGAGAATGCGTTAGGGTTGAAAACTTAAACATGCCCTACCCAAACTGAGGGGGTCAAACTCTGTCAAACCAAGAACAGAACCCCTAAAACCGACGCAAAATGCGAGCCTTTTTTCTTTTTTACAATATCACGTCAAAGTTACACAGGAGACCCCAGTGATCACTAGGGAATCTGCCACAGTCCAGTTTTTCCAGTCCGATCAAGTCCATACTTCGTGGAACAACGTGTCCCCCGCCCGCTGCAGGCCGAAAGTAAACGCGGTCAAACCTCATCTTGCACTTGTACCCTGCGTCCAGGTTGGTGTTGGAGTGGGTGTCCCAAGTATAGCGGCAGTGCTGAGGTTTGCCCAAAAACTCCCAGATATCCGTAATGCTGTGAGGTAAGTTACCTAGCTTAGTAACCTGAAAGTAGAAAGGAGGGGGGAAAAAGAAAAATCCGCAAGATGCCGAATTCACAAATTTTACCTTCAAAAACAGAACAGGATCACTTTTTTCTGCAAAACATGAGTAGTTAAAACCAAAGATAGTGGAGGCGTTTCTAAATTGTGGTATTTCTCAGGATACTCTAAAGCACGACCAATTCCTGTAGTACCTTCTAAATCCAAAACACGTTACATTTCGAGTGTCTCACTGATGGGCGATTAATTTTAAACTCCCAAGCTCTATCTCTCCAGAGCATCGTCCTCTTTCCTCGATTCTACAAGCATTAACTCTCTGAGAATCAAAGAGCTGAGCAAGTAAAGATCAGGTTCTCAAAATGCTTTTGAAGTCGAAACTTCACCCACTACCCCTGCATCTTCTCAGATGTAAACACTGCCAACAAAGCATTTTGGTTTTGGGGGGTGGGGAGCTCCTCATCCACATCATGTCAGCTATAACTATGCTGCAGCTTCTACTTAGTCACACTCCCACTTCTTAAGAGTAAATGCTGCCTGTCTCTCTTTGGCCTAAGCAGGTCGTTTCTCACAAAGCCAACAGAAGAGCCCGAGAAGATTTTGTCAGAACACCTCGAAACGACGAGGTTGCTTATTTCTATTTACCTCACTGTCTCTGAGGTTCGTGTCCCCTCCAAATATAACCGTGGTGGACTCGGGCTCCTTCTGCATTTGATCGAACACGATTTGCAGTTGCTTCGTACGCTCCTTTGAGTGATTTTTAGTGCTTTCCAGATGAGAGGTCATAAGGCAAAGTTCATTCCCAGATACGCTCACCTGCGCGTGAAACCAAGAGGCAACGTCTCTACCCACGCCGTGATACGAAGGTCAAGGACAAAAATCTAATCACAAAGGAAATTACTGAATGACAGAGCTCTGGTTAATTAGTTTTACATTGAAGAAAAGCGGCTTACAGGAGGGTAACAGGCTTTCAGTTTTGTTTTCGGGGGTTATGAGTCTCAAAAACAAAGTATGGGCAGTAGCTTACACAAAAGATTTAAGTTTGTTGGGTTTGTGTGTTTGGGGAAGTTTTTCTGCTGTTTGAGACTGTCATAGAGTAAAGCCAATCCTGCCCTTCCTCGGATTTTTTGTTTTGAAGGCAGAAATATCTCTGTTTCGTACACACTGACTCACTCACATGCACAACCAAAAGGTTCCTCATCATGGAGGTTGTTGGAAAAGGTATTATCTCATGTTTCAGTAGCTTCACTCTTGATTTCTTCAACATTATGACAGTGAAATAGCCATCTATGTTACCTAAAGAGGAAGAGGGAAAGAAACCCGTGCCATAAAGAGGTTAAGGTTCTGAAAGAGACCTTTTTACCATGAACTGGGAGAATCACCTTAATCTGTAAGACGTACAAAGTCATTAGTTAAACGTCTCACAATAGCGGTGTGAATTTTTCAGGGTTTTTAAACGCAAATATTCACAACAGATATTATATTTATAAAGATTTATTTGGTAAGATAATAGATAAAGATTTGCTAAGATAAAATAGATAATATTTATAAAGTATTATCTAGTGTCATAGATCAGTATTATCCACGGCACTTTTTTGGCTACCCTTAGTCTTTCAAAACTCAGAAAAAATACAAAGGAAACCACCAGGCAAGCAAGCTCTTCAGGTGCATAATTTGCATCAAACTATATGCTGGAATCAAAACACAGAAAGTGATTTAAGCGCCTCCTTCTTCACTTGACTCTTTTCATTCCTACGGCCAGAGATTTTGGCAAGGGAGACAATAAAACTGAACTTACTTTTCGTAGTCTCTGTCTTTAGAAACCAAGGGTTATTTCTTACCTGGAATAATAGTGTAGCTGCCTGCTCTCATCTGGAGAAGACAGAGGTGTGGTGGGATGACCTCCTGTAAAAACACGACATCTGGGCTGTACCTGAAATCGGCAAGACGAGTGTTTAGATCACCTGCCGAAAGGTAGTACTGTCACACGCTGAGGCCAAACGGAACAGCGTCAGGGATTTCAGGTGCACCTCGACCTCATCTTCCCAGGGACTGTAAGCATCTGCTCCTTAAAAACCCCAGCACCCTCTCTCCATCACAGTAACGTGCAGACACATCACTGCTGTTAAAAGGGAGGAAAGGATCATCACGGGCATGGAACTGACACGGTAATAAACCGCACAACTTCCTTAAACCCTCCTCTTGCAAACGTCTGCGCAGGTTGCACACACTGCACACAGGAGGAATGCAGCTTCAGCAGCTGCACGGCAGCTTTGGAACACGTTCTGCAACACCCAAGCTCTCCAGGAGAATCCAATCCGTTCCCTTACAACAGGCGCCCTGCCAGGCATCTCCTCCAGCCTGACCAGTGCCAAGCTCTCCGTGCAAGCAGTAACACTCCACGTGGGGCAGCAGCCCTGAAACCGCTGACTGAGACGGGACCTTGCTGCGGTCCCTGGTTTTGCTACACTGCTGCACAGCCCTGCTCTAAGCAGGCGAAGGACAAACCTAAAGCCTTACTTACAGAAGAAAAATATTGCCGCCCCAGATTAACAAAAATCAAGTGAAAATTGATTTAGTTAAGGAGTTTCTGCTGTTTTAAGAGGAACTTAATTTATCACTTGTTCAAATCATTTAATTTACACTAATAAGTTACTGTATTGAGATCAATCAATTTATGTAATTGCTAAATTGCTCATAAATATATTCATGGGAGGCTTCCACTGCTGGAACTGTACAAGGTAACCAGAGATTCTATCGCTTTTATCTTACCCTGCACATTCTCTTTTTTGACAGACAAGTAACACTAGATTTCACTAAAAAATCTTTTTTCTTGTTTCCAACAGTTCAAGTTATTCACACTAGTGGGATGAGACAAAGCAAGCTGCTTGCAGTTTTACCCTTCTCTCATGTGCAGGATGGAAGTATGAAGTCTGCTCTTGATGTATGGTGTATTTTATAACGATTGTTCATTATAAAAAAGCTTTTTAAAGTAGCCATCACCAAACATTTAACCTTTCACACCTCTTCCAACCAGTATATCAACTTTTATTGAGCAGTTTAGGATTTATAAAGTGATTGTGTTGCTGCATCTAAGATAACTTGGGCGTGAAGATCTGTAAATATCTAAACCAAGAAGCTCGCTTTTTCCTTGAAAGCTGGGTTCGTGACAATACAAAGACGAAGCCATACTTACAGTGTCAGGTAAGAACAGATTCCTCTGGCTCGTTCTTTTACATTTCCCAGATCCAGCCCATCAACATTCCAGGTTATCAGTGAGAAGCTGCTGTCATCTTCTGGTTGCTTCGAGTCTGCGCTATCGACACCGGCATTACTAGTAGTTGCATCTGCTGTGAGATCAATACTAAAGAGAGAGTTTCCTTGTTTGTCAACGTGCATAATACAATTCTTCCTGCAATCACCTCCCTTATCTTCCACAGGAAAATCTTCCAGACCCATCACAATTTACAGGTGGCCATCTAAAACCTTCCCAACAAATATGTTAACATGTATTGATCTCAACACAATTAAAACCCACAGTAATTACAACGTACAGACCTCAGTCGTACAGAGCACACACGTGAAGTAAGTGGCTCTTCCTCCTCCTTACAAGATCCCATTTACCATTCCGATTTACATTAATCAGAGGGCAACCAACGCAGTCCAAAGCACTGAGTAATTCAGCTCTTTCCCCACGCCAGAGGCAGGCTGCGCAGGTTAGTTTTTCAAACACTTTCCAGTGTAGGAGAAACAAAGAACTGCAGCCAGGGCTGGCTTTTATGTGTTCACCTTCGTAGTACAGCTGAGGTTCTTCCCATTGCTGAGCCCCCTGGGGAGGTACATGGGCAAACTCCCTCTGGGACAAACTCCTTGTTTTGCTTTGCTTGTGTGTGTGGCTTTTGCTTTACCTCTTAAAATGCCTTTATCTCAGCCCACGAGTTTTCTCATTTTCACCCTTCCGATTCTCTCCCCCATCTCACTGGGGAGAAGGAAGTGGCTGTGTGGGGCTGAGCTGCCCACTGGGGTTAAACCACAACACTGATCCAATGTAAATTCCTTGAGTAAAGGGAAAGTCTGCAACAAAATACATTACACAGCCCAGCTAAGACTAGACACACTGTATTTTGGCAAAGGTGGGATACTAGAGCTTTGTTTTTAAACACAGAGTTTGTATGAAAATAAGGCCTGGAACCAAAACAAATCTATTCCCTAGAACTGAGTACTGGTTTTGTACTTGGTGCTGCACAAACAACATCAGATTCCGCTAGCATGCACATGCAATCTAAACTGAACAGGAAAAGAAAAGCAGGCAAAGGAGAGGAAGCTAAGGGATACTGAAGTAGGCAAATAACGTGGTATATGCCTCCAGTATTTCATGATGACTTTTTATATTTATACTGCAACCTGAAGGCCTATGAGATGAAATACGAACGTCTGTGTAGTCTGCAGTGATCTTGCCCTGACGGGGAGGTCTCCAAATAGTCCTTCCTCCCAACACATCCTACGTACAACAGCTCGAGACAGAACCCACAGTGCAAAGACAGAGGCTGGAGGAGGAAAAAAGTGCTGCCAGTTTGATACAGCTATATTCTGATTCGTCATGGGCTACCTAGAGGCCAGGGCTAACGTTCAGGAGGCTTGTGTTTTTTCATACATACATAGCAAGCAAAAACAGGTATGCTGTTATCAAATACGGCTTATCCATAGCTATAAAGATCACAAGGGCTCTTCTATGTAACAGGCAAGTCTGCAATAAATAAATCTGTAGGAAAAAGGCTTCCCTCGGGACTGGGTCTGTAAAAGTTCAGTTCCACATGCAGTTCAACACCTTCGGTACGCCCCACGAGCATGCTGCGAGATCGTCTGTGTAAGACACAGATCCCAGACGCTAATTTCCACGGGTACATTTAGCAAGGTGTGCGTGTACGTGTCAACCTTCTAGACAGAAACACAAATACACACGCATCTGGCACATGGCATACCTGCAGCTTGCACATAGGCAAATGTGGGTGTTGTACAATAAAACCTGCGTGTAGAATCATAGAATCATTTTGGTTGGAAAAGACCTTTAAGATCACCAAGCCCAACCGTTATCCTAACACTACCAAGCCCCCCCACCAAAATTGCTGCACGCGACAAGGCAACGACGAG